AGGAAGAGAAGGAGGAGGAGGAGGAGGAGGGCCCGGGCCCTGGGCTGGTGGTGGGGAACACTTCCTGCCCAGGGAGCCTATTTGGACCGAGTACAATGTGAAGGGTGTATGTGGCATTTAAATAGACTGTGCTCTTCAAAAACCAAAGACTAAATTAGCTTCCTAAATTACAACCCTCGTTTCCTCTTGGCCTTGGATTTCTCTGTGAAAACACAGGGCCTCTTCTCCCTCTCTGCTTCCTGTCTGAAGCCCACTGACACTGCTCAGATTGTTCAAATCTGAAATCAAAGGGCTGAAGAAATGACCTGGTAGAACCCAATAGCCACCCCCAGGAGGCTGATCCTGGCTCAGGCCCTTGCTTTCCCTGTCCTGTCCCTGGTGGGTGGGGCCTGCTGGCTTCCAGGATGGGAACGAAAGGAATCCTCCTTCCCTAAAGATGACCTTCGGGGATGCTTATTCATTAATTAAACAAAAGAAAACAAAATTAACCCCCTTACTATATGTTGAGCCCTCTGCTTAATGTTGAAAGAGATACAAGGTTTAAATCAGGGATTCTTAAGCTGGGATCCACAAACCACAAGGAGTCCATGAATAAATTTCAAGGGGTCCTTGAACTCGGAAAAAAAAAATTAAATCTTGATTTTCACTTACCTTGAATTCACAGTTCACATTTCCTTTAGTTATTTAAAAATATTATTCTGAGAAAGGGTCCGTAGGTTACCTCATGAAAGGTCATGAAGGGGTCCATGACCAAAAAAAGGGGAATAAGGAAACAAACATTTGTGAAACACCATTTATTAAACACCAAACATTTATTAAACACCTACTATTTATTAAACACCTACTACTGTGCTAAGTGCTTTACAATTATGATCTCATTTGATCCTTACAACAGTTCTGTGAAGTAGGTGCCATTATTCTTCCTATTTACTCCATTTCCCCAGGTGAAGAAACCAAGGCAGATAGAAGTTAAGTGACTTGCCCAGGGTCACACAGTTAGTAAGTGCTTGAGGTCAGATTTGAACACAGGTCTTCCTGACTCAGCTCTCTATCCACTGTGGGACCTAGCTACCTTTAAAAAAAAAAGTTTCAAATCTCTGGCTTAGATAACATACAGCCCCTGTCCTCATGGTACTTACAGGGCAGAAAGGGAATAAAAATCTAAGAATAATAAGTGTGTTAAAAAAAATCAAGACCTGTGATTTTATTGGTGTAAGGAACTTGCTGTATGGGAATTGATTGTGTTGTCTGGTAGCTGGTCTGGAGCTTCTGGTTAAGTCTTAGAGAATTCACTGGGAGCACCGAGAGGTCAACTGACTTGTCCTGGTGGGTCATCATTAAGACTTGAATTCAGGTTTCCCAAACTCAAAGGTTAACCCTCTATTATGCCAATAAATTGTGTCAATAAATGCACTAGCAAAATGCAAAGCAATATCGTTTGTAAGGTCGTGGGCAGGGGGCCATGACCCAGCCCAGAGACCAGGAAAAGAGGATCAAGATTCATGAAGGGAGTGGATATCTGAGTAGGGATTTAAAGGTTGGACTTCAACCTTTGGGTTGGATGATGGATGGAGTTGGAGAGGATGACATTCCAATCACAGGAGATAGTGTGAGCAAAAGCGTGGAGGTGGTAGAGTAGGGCAAAATATATTCAGAGACAGACACTAGTCAAGTTTAGATGGAGCTTGTCTGTGAATGGGAATAACATGAGAGAAGGCTGGAAAGTTTGTGTAGCACTAAATTGTGGAGG